ATATTTGAGAAAGAGGTTATTTATGATTTATTAATATATATTAGAAGACTGATATATTAATTGAGAAATCATATTATTTAATTGGTATTGATCATGAATTAATTTGGAATTAATTTAGTAATCAAAAGAGACTGATTAAATTAACAGGGGCTGATTATGTAAATCAGTGATACATATAGTTTGGGCTAATGATCCATGATTGATTAGTGATGGACTAAGTTTATGTGAGAGTCCATGAAGTGTTAGTCCAAAAGCCTAGCAAATGGGTTATCGGATTAAAAGCCTAAGTGAATGAATTAGGGTTTACAAGTGACTCTTGGAATTCTACACTATAAATATAACCCCTAAGACCTAAAATCGGTACAAGGGTATTCCAAGAAGAAACTATAGACGATTTTGTGCCTCCCAACCTCTCTCTCTCTCTCTCTCTCTCATAATCCTCCATTGTTCTTGGTGTTTGTGACTTATTTGAGGCATCACATTTGAGGTGTTAAGCTCTTGTAAGGCCAAGTTCTACAAGCTACAACAGAGAGGTAATCATCTTACTTATTTTTATGTTTCAATTATCAAAGTTGTATGCTAGTTAGGCTTCATTCTTTGGATAAATGAAAATTACATGTGTAACTTGAAAAAACTTAGATCCAAAGCATTAGGGTTGTATGCGCACCATAGAGATGTTATAGTGCTCAAAACCCATCAGTGGTATCAGAGCCTAGGGTGTTTTCTGTTATATTGATGCATTGGTTAATTGTTCAAAGTTGAAACAAATTGAAAACTGCACTCTGACTGCTGGAATCTACGAGTCCTATGAAGAACTTGACGAATCCATGAAGAACTCGACAAGTCCATTGCGAGACTCGATGAGTCGGATAGTTTGTTGGTAGATTTTCGGGTTTTTTTTTGCCAGAATTGGATTAGGATCATTACCATAAACTGTTTTGTAACATGTGACAACCCAAAAATTTCTATTCTGTACAACCATCCACTTCAAAAGAAGTCAAAACTATTTCTGCTAACTTTCAAGCTTTTTGGAATAAGTTTGAGTGGTTTAAAGTTAGTGCTTCAAGAGATAATTGGAGAGAGGATGCCCTAGTGTTTATTGTAAATCGATTAGGTTCCAAAAACCCCTAGAGTTTGAAGTTTAGGAACAAATGGTATTAGGGCCGTAAACCCTAATGACTATATAAGTGAGACTTGGTTATTTTTCTCACTTTTTCACAATTCCAAGATCCAAACTCAAATCCTCTAAAGTACCATCCGAATTTTCCTTCTTGATCTTCAACTTGTAAGTGTTTCAAGCCCTAATTAGTTGATATCTACCTTAATCTAGTGATCTAACACACTTTCATCTGTGAAATCATTCCAAAAGTGTAGATCTTCAAATTCACCAAGAACACACACTAGTGTTCTTGGACTTTTAGCACCTTTTCAAGCTTCTACCTTGTAAGTTCTTCTATCCTAGAGTCTTATAAGCTTTTTTACACTTCTAAACACCAAGAAAACACCCAAGAAACCAAGGATCAAGGGTGTTTACGGTCCAAGAACATCTTGGACCGTAAACCCTAATTTTGGTGCCAAAGTGTGCATTATCCTTTCTTAATGCCTTGGAAACTAGCCTAGCACCTTACCTTGATGTGTTTAGGATTCAAAAGAATCAAAATACCATCACCCATATGTGTTGACGGCCACAATCACATTGAAAAGTGGTCCATGGGTTGAAAACTCAATTTAGGAGTGTATTGATGCCACAAAAACTCCTTAAGGGTTAAACATTAAGTATGGATGCTTAGTATGACTTGGAAGGCTTCAAAACTCAAAATGGTCAAAGTGTAATGAGTTTACAGTTGTAAACTCATGGGTTTATGACCGTAAACTCAATGAGTGATGGTCACAAGGCCTTAAACTCATTTTTTGGTCATTCCACTTCCCTTTGATGAATCGCATGTGATTCCAACACTTAAGCAAGGTGTTTCCTAGTCCCGGAAGGTGTTTCCTTTCATATAGTTTTTTATAAACACTATATTCATGTCATTATGTGTCCCTATATGTCATTAAGGACTTGTTGTGTTGTTAGGAGTGTCAAACCCAACAAATAAAGGGGTACGATATACTCCAAAATAATCCCACTATATTGCACTAAAAAGGTAGTACAAGGTAAGCAGGGTCGATCCACAGAGACACAGGACAATTAGTCTATACCTCTTTGCACAAGGTACTATAGTCACCAATAGTAAAAAAAAGAGGGGGTTTTAGAATGTAATGATTAAACAAATAATTAAAAACATAAGCAGTCAGTTAAGTGCATGAATTAAGTTCAGAATTTGTGAGGACTCCAACCCCATGTATGACAATTTAGCAATGTGACTCCAAGATGACACAATATTCGTTCAATTCTATCTAAGTTGGTACTTGAAAGTGCTAATAAGCTCTAACACTTCCCATTCACCATATTAATTAACCAAAACAAGCTCTTTGATTAATCCTAACCTTATTAACCTAATCTAAACAAGCTCTTGGGGTTAGATTATAAGATTGCATGAAGCTTTATGTGAATGTTCCCAACAACACCCAATACTCCTCATAAGCTCAGGAGTGTAAAAGTGTATGAATAAAATTTACACTAAATTCATTCAATAGAGATCAATTTAATGCTTGTTACTTATTCAATTTCACAAAACAATTACGGATTTTGTAAAAGAGATAACTTGAATGACCTAACCCTAATTCAAATGGCCAATAAGAATCATAATTAGAATCAAACATTCGATTGAAGCAAAATAAAATTCATTAAATAGAAATTAAGAACAAACATCATGTCATATGAATGAAGTCACTACCAAGAAGTCAAAACATGAAATTGGAGAAATTAGGGTTCTAGCCACACATGGCTAGAACAAGATCACAAGAATAAAAGATGGAATTAAAGTGCAATTACAACTTACAAATACTAGAAATAATGTTTCCAAATGATTGCTAATCAAACCCTTGCAAAAACCTTTGAAAATCCTCCTCCAATGGTGCTCTGGTATCTTTTTTTTCTCTCCCTCTAATCCTCAACCCGTAATATGAAAGATAGAAAAACTGCCAAAAGTTGGTTTCTGGGTCGAACACGGCCCGTGTTAAAATAGGCTAAACTGGCACGGGTCGTGTTCAGCATGGTCAACAGCTCCCATTTTGGTCAAACACGCCCCGTGTTGATTTTTCAGTGTAAATCAACACGCCCCGTGTACCTCTCTGACTCCAATTCCAAACTTGATTTTTCCAACTTTTAGTTCTTCGCCGGATCGTCCCGAAATCTCCACCAATGCTTCCCGACACTTCCCAAAGCGCGTTCCAACCTCCGGTTTACCTGAAAAAGATATAAAAGTGTGCAAATAAGGTTGTTCTAAAGACTAAAATGAATATGATAAAATGCAAGGAAAAGGAAGAACAATTTTGCTAAATATATGCATAAAATGGGACTAAAAGGTGTGCAAAAAGGTGCACAAATAGCACCTAACAAATCTCCCCAAGCTTAGACCTTTCTTGTCCTCAAGAAAGAACAAGAACCGGACAACAGGACGATTTCTAGATGGCAAAAAGAAAAACTTAGAACGAAAAGGGGATGAAGGATCCTAAAGGTTAAGAATGAATGCATGCAATGCAATGCCATGAAAATATGTTCAAAATGCACCTGAGAAACAAAATGAAGCAAAAGAAAAGAAAATTAAGAACAAACACAAAATATGTACTTTTGTAACTAAATAAAGGTACGATCAGACTTTACATCAATAGGGCTTCGATCATTGATACCTTGGCAACCATCCTGTTTCCTTCCACATATCACAGACTCTCAATGTGAGGAAGACCCGAAACGGTGTAACCCAATAATCCAACCAAAGTTTTATTTAATCTTTATACCTTACTAAGCTTTATGGGCGAAAATAACATAGTCCGGATTTCATGTCCTTAAGACTAAATGGCCAAGAATCAGAATCGACGCCTCCTTAAGAACCCGTCACGGCGAATCAGCTTTCGCTGAAACAGTGAGCCCACCCGAAGGGGCTCAGCTCCTATGCTTTCACTTTTTCGAGAGCCACAAGTATCATATCACACAGTTCTTCATTCGCCATATTTGACTTGAGTTGGCTTTTGATTTGATTGAGCTTTGATTTGTACTTCGTTTTGAATTTGGATTCTTCAATCTTCATCTTTGGAATTTCTTTGGAATTTCTTTAGATTTCTTCGTTTTGGTATTTGAAATTCTGATTGGGGTACTGGATATGACAGTTGTACCCTTCCTTCATTCTCGACTGTGTGGGTCTGATACATAAGCTCTCTGTTACCGCGGGGGTAACGCGTGTCAACAAATAGGTCCGTGTTCTGTGGGTTCAGAGTTGCCGATAAAGATTCTTTTTAAACATTCAAAAGCAAATCATCCTAAAGCTGTTATTACCGCCCAAAAAACGTTTCAATATAAATTTTTTATTATCTGAGGGTAGGGTCTCGAATTACGATATTTGGGTCCCCTAGTTATGACAGCTGATTCTATGCTTCCGGTAACAATCCGGTTGCTTCGGTATTTTTCATTTCATGGAGCAATTGTATGTAAAGAGTGTCATCATCTCGTACACTTTTTTTTTTTTTTTTGTCATATGAATGAAAATTTGAAAATAAGAGAAAATTTGAAAATAAGAAAATTTGAAAATAAGAAAATTTGAAAAATTGAAAATAAGAAAATGCATGTATGAGAATGAGTGAACCTAAAATACAAGTCTACCCCTCCCCAAGCTTAAAGATAAGCATCGTCCCCGATGCTTGGAGAGGGTGGAACAACCTAAAACGGAGGTGGAGGAGGAGGATAGTAGCTGGGGTTTCGGGTCCAAGCCCAGAAGTCCTCCTCATGTTTGCGTTGACGCTCTTGATCCCGAGCGTACTGGGTGGTGAAGGTGGAAAAATTCTGGGTCAGGCTGGTAATATCCTGCTGATAGGTGTCGAGGTGGGTATGGATTGATTGGAATTCATCCATATATTGTTGATGATAAGGCGGGGGTGCGCAAAATGGGATGAGCTGCCACCACCGGTGGGAGAAGCATGGTGAGGCTCCTCCTCTCTTCATCATCATCACCTTCTTCCTCGTTTTCTTCGCTTTGCTCATCGACCTCGGTGGAATAAGAGTGGGGGAAGATGTATGGAATGATTTGCCAATCAGTCATATGAATGGGATTTCGGAAATCAAGAATGCCTTTATTTTCTGGTGTGATGAGGAGCTTGGGATCATGATTTTGACCCACGGTCCAGTGGTGTGTACCATCGCCTGCTGAGCGGAAGAGTCGCATTGACTCAAGGATAGCAGTGGTGAGATAAGGCTCACCCGGCAGTGGCTGGTGGGGACCGGGGTATGGGGCTCGGATGTGGGCGCTCTTGGCGAGCATGCTGACAATACCCCCGCAAACAATCTTTCCTGATCGGGATGCGCTAAGGCGGATGAGCTTGTGGCACAGAAACCGACCATAATGAGGAATGAGGTTATTCTCGGGATGGGTCATTGCATAAAGGATTTTAAGTTCCAGCGCGCTAATGGTGCTTCGCTCCTCTCTAGGGGCGACGAGCGAAGCAATGATTCTGTGAGCTACCTTAATCACAGGATGGATAAGTGATGAGGCTTTAGCAGCGCTAGAGACATATGGATGTAATTGGGTGAGCTGGGTCCACCAAGTCATGTCATAGTATCCTTGGATTGCATCAGTGGGGCCAAATGTGTTTTCCGTTGGGGCCCCCACAATGGCATTGATTTGATCCAAGGAGAATTTTCGGATCTAGGGTTTATCAAAACCCCCAAATTCACCATTAAAATGCAAGAAAATGGTGTTTAAGATGGAGAAGATGAAGTGTAGATGATGAAAATCAAACCTTTTTGTACCTCTTTTTGCTCAACACACCTGCGAATTACTTGGTCCGCACAGTACTTCCAAAGGTAAGGTTCATCCCATATGTATCGTTTGGCTTCTTTTTTGATTTTGTCTCTTTGCCAACGGGATGAATCTGGGGGAAATTGACTTGTGACCAAGTAGTTGACGATATCTGCATACCATGGTGCCTCTTTGGCTGAAAATAGATTCTCATCCGGAAATGTGTCACAGATGGGTTTACCATCTTCGGGTGATACGATGCGACTTAGATGATCCGCAACCAGATTTTCCTTTCCACTCTTGTCTTTGATCTCAATATCAAACTCTTGCAAAAGCAACATCCACCGTATTAACCTCAGCTTTGAGTCTTTCTTTGTAAGCAAGTGTTTTATGGCTGCATGGTCCGAATATATGATCACTTTAGTTCCAAGGAGGTATTGTCGAAACTTCTCCAAAGCAAAGACAATAGCAAGCAACTCTTTCTCTGTTGTGGTGTAGTTGCCTTGTGCCCTATCAAGGGTCTTTGATGCATAGTAGATGACATGATGTGCTCGATCAACCTTTTGTCCCAAAACTGCCCCAACCGCGGTATTGCTAGCATCGCACATGATTTCGAATGGAAGATCCCAATTTGGCGGTTGAATAATGGGGGCGGATGTCAACAAATCTTTCAAAAGATCAAATGCCTTTTTGCATTCATCACCAAACTCAAAATCAGCCTCCTTTTGTAGAAGTTGACACATCGGTACCGTAATCTTGGAAAAATCCTTTATAAACCGCCGATAAAAACCTGCATGGCCAAGAAAAGAACGTACTTCCCGAACATTTGTCGGGTATGGTAAGCTCTTAATAATATCTGTTTTGGCCTTGTCAACTTCTAAACCTTTCTGGGACACCACATGTCCAAGTATCAAGCCCTTGTCGACCATAAAATGGCATTTTTCATAATTAAGGACTAAGTTCGTGTCAATGCACCTTTGTAAGATTTTGGTGAGATTTTGCAAACATTCATTAAAAGAGTTTCCATAAATAGTAAAATCGTCCATGAAAACCTCTATGATATTTTCAACATATTCTGAAAATATGCTCACCATACATCTTTGGAAGGTTGCGGGTGCATTGCACAAACCAAAGGGCATGCGTCTATACGCAAAGGTGCCGAAGGGACATGTGAATGTGGTTTCTCTTGGTCTTCCGGGGCAACCGGAATTTGATGAAAACCAGAGAAACCATCAAGGCAGCAGTAATGGGATTTCCCGGCCAATCGTTCTAACATCTGATCAATGAATGGCAAAGGGAAGTGGTCTTTGCGGGTGGAAGCATTCAGCTTCCTATAATCGATACAAACTCTCCACCCGTTTTGCACACGGGTGGGTACCAATTCCCCTTCGGAGTTTTTGACAACGGTAACTCCAGCTTTTTTCGGGACTACTTGCACAGGACTCACCCACTTACTATCAGAAATAGGATAGATTACACCTGCATCCAAGAGCTTCATGATCTCCTTTTTGACCACCTCCATCATAGGTGGATTCAACCTCCTCTGTGCTTCACGGGTTGGCTTGAAGTCCTCTTCCATCAGTATTTTGTGCATGCATAATGATGGGCTCAACCCTTTTATATCCGCAATAGTCCAACCAATAGCCTCCTTGTATTTCTTCAAAATTCCAACTAACTCTTTTTCTTCTTCTCGTGCCAGCTTAGTCGAAATATCACCGGTAGTGTCTCTTCCTCTCCAAGATAGACATACTTGAGATGGTCGGAAGAGCCTTCAACTCAAGAGTCGGCGGCTGTACTATGGATGGGAGAAGTTTCG